TCCTGAAACAGGAAGGACGTGCACCATGGCCCCCACCCCCGCCCCCGCCCTGCAGCGCGTTTCCTCAGCAGTGCTCTCTGGGCCTCTGGACGCGAGAATGGGTCTGACCAGCGGGTCAGAGTCTGGCTCCCTTTGGAGCTGCTTCTCTCAGAGTGAGTTCTAGGCACGCTCACAGGTCAGACATGGGAGCAGATCCCACCTGGGCAGTACAGGGGCAGCCATGCCGACAGCCCAAGCCTTGGGAGGGCTGGGCTGCAGAGGAACTGCTATCCAACTGCGCCTGGGGCCTCACTCTGTGGGTCACGGCCCCCAAGAATTTGGTTTTCAGAATCTGCCGTCTGGGACGTTAGGGACACGTCGACAGGAGAAGCGCGTCAGGAGTGGCAGAGGGAGGCCCTCCGAAGACGTGCTCCTGCAAGGCAGCGAGGAAAGAGCGGCGACACGGTACTCAGAGGCCGGCGACAATCCCAGGAGGCCCAGGAGGAGCAGTGAGCTTCTCTGTGTTAACTTCCCCAGCCGCCTCCACGGGAGCCTTGAAAACAAACAGCTGCGGAACCGGAACCGGTGGCCTAGCAGTCACTGGAGGGGCAGCATGGCTGTGGAGCTCCTGGCAAAGGCCATGCCATCCCCAGAGAACTGCTGCCTTTGATTTATTTGGGGGCCACCCAGGAAAGCCCCATTCAGAGGACTCATTTGACCCGGCCAGAGCTCACTCAGTGAGAAAAGCCTTATCGCTAGGGCATTTGCTGGGAAAAATCAGTCATGATAACAACATCCCAGCTATACCCAGCAGCCATATCAGTTGGGACAAACGAGATAATGCCCACAACACTTAAAAGAAAACTCTGGGGCCCTGGCCGGTGGCTCAGTTGTTGGGGTGTCATCCCATACACCGAAGTACTGCACCTTCGATTCCTGGTCACACCTAGGTTGTGGGTTCGACCCCCAGTCAGGGTGCGTACGAGAGGCATCTGGTGGATGTTTCTCACATCGATGTTTCTCTTCCCTCTCTCCTTCTTTCCCTTCTACTCTCTCTCAGATCAATAGACACATCCTCAGGTGAGGATTTAAAAGGATGATCTGGGAAATGAGATGTCCACAGTGTTCCATGAAAAGCTCTGGCATATCCCTGGAATCTAGAAGGTCACACTTACGTACAGGGCTGTCCACATGCCCAGGAAAGACCGAAAAAGCCCAGTACCTCACCTCTGGCTGCCTCAGACCCATTTCTCTGTGCGACCTGCCTCAGGGCTCTGGATCCAGAGTCTGGAAGCCAATGGACAGCGCTCCCTTTTGCTCTCTACGGCATCTTCCAGAAATATGTTTTATCGGGGAAGGGCTGTCACCGTTATTATTACTGTAGTTACTGGACAGGGAAGCCGGGTTTGCAGGGGCAACGTAGAAGGCACAGGAAGGGAGGAGTCCTGGTGTGCAGCCGGCATGTGTGGTCCAGAGCAGTTCCCCGTAAAGACACGTGGTCACATGGTTGCCGTCAGGGCAAACCTGCCAGCATTTCGGGGTCTGGCTGCATGGGACTGCTGCCTCTCAGCCTCCCGAAGCC